CGACTCCAGCAATGGGATTAGGTTCAGGCAGAAATGCAGATAATAATAACATTCTGAATGGTCGAGAAAATATTATGAACACAATTCGCAATTGGAAATTACCATTTCCTTGTTATAAACAGATATACCAGTCCAGTATGTTATTTGTAGAGTCACCATTATTACCACTAATACCCTTGCTGAAAATATCGAAATGTTATGCAGATATGTCCACATCCTATTTGAAGACCATGAATTAGAACGGTACTGGAGATATCATCGCCAGAATGAGATATTGGAGTGGAATGGATTGTGCGCTGGGTTAAAGATCCAGTATAAGGGTTGCTTCAATGACTTCGCTTTGAAGGATGATATTCAACGAAGGAAAAGGCATCAGGGCGAGACTTTTGACGAGTACATATGTCGGACCCTGAACTGTGTGAAACTATGATGCGTATTCTCATATCAGAAATAAGACACGAGGTACTGCATTTGGAAATATCGAGTGTTTCACAACTTAATAAATTTGTAAGAAGACATGAAAAACATCGTTAGGAAACTGTTGGAAATTGGAACCGATACCATTCCAGGACCAGTTTGTAGAAGTTGACAATGAGTAACTTCAGGACATTGACGAATCAGAGAGCGGTGACGTGATGGAAGTCCATTTAATTGTTTTCTGGAATTGCCGCGATAGTGGCCATACATACAAACAATTTATGTAGGACAGAGCGATATTCTGCTATGATTGTAATCTGAGTTATACTTATCGTTTAATTGCCCTAAATGTAACGATCCGGGAAACGTCAAGAAGTTGTCCCTAAGACGGCCGATGGCCAGCAGCAGAATATATATGTCATACCTAAGGTGAATTTTATATTTCAAGATTGTGAAAATTAATTTGAATTTTAAGTCGTTGAATGAATATAACATGATATGTTATGTGGGATTCGTTATTGAAGAATTCTAACATTTCAATATATATGAAGAGTGAAATTGCGGAGATTGATAAGACTGGCTTTGACGACGGAAGTATAGAGATGGGTAAGGATGAAAAACGGAAATTGGACGCGGTAGTAGAAACGTCCCGAGTTCTGAGAGAAAAGAAATGGGTTGTACTCATTTGGTTGAGCATTCGATCTATACTGGCGATTCAAAGCCTATTAAGCAGAGGCCATAAAAAATACTTTATGAGGAAATCGACATCGTTATCGAGGAGTGTTCCCAGTCATATTGGTACTGTGGAAAACTAAATTCGCTAACCATTTATATTTTTATCCATTTTCCAATACAGAAGGAATTTTGTCAAGATTGCCATATGTACAGTTTATTTCCAAAGTGGACTTTAAAGAAAATATTTGGCAAATCACTTTGGTGATCACCAGAGGTGTTAATAGTTAAGCGTGACAAAGCACAATTCTGTGTAAACAATAGAAAACTAAAATCTGTAACCCTTAAGAATTCTTCTCCATTTCCCAATATAGGAAGAATTTGTCAAGGCTGATATCTGTCCAGGTTATTTCCAAAGTGAACTTGAAAGATAAATGTTGAAAAATACAATTGGATGGTCTATCGTAGCCAAAACAGAGTTCACGGCTCGCAACAGGCCACTATTCCAATTCACAAGAATGACAATGTCCCGCTTAATGGATCTGTTTATACCCTATAATGTGAAACCCAAGTTTTCGTTTCTTTGGACGACTCATTGATTATGTCGAATAGTTTTGATGTGCACTTACAGGAACTTCAGTATTTTGCCACACAATTTCGAGAGGCTGGACTCACTACAAATGTAAAGAAAAGTAGTTTTGCCATAAGACATGTAACTATTAAGAAACATACGCTAACATTTCCACTTACTCAGTTATTATCGAAGTAGAACAAATTTTTTGAGTGGAACGATAAAGCTTAGAATTGTTTCGATGAACTTACATCGAAATTGTGTCGACACCCGTTTAAATGCATCCCAACTTCAGTAAACCGTTTATACTACAACGTGACGCAAGTACAGTGTGCATTGGAGAAGAATTGGTTCAGCAGGACGGCAGTGGTATTGAAAGGCCCAAAGCTTAAATTTCTCAAATGCCTAATAAAGCCCTGCGGAACTATACAATAACCGAGATAGAGTGTTTAGCAGGAGTTCTTGCTGTGTAGAAATTTAAGGCATATATAGAAGAGCATGAATTCAAAGTCACCGATCATGCCAGCCTTAAATGGTTTATGAGACAGACTCATTTATAAGGAAGATTGACCAAGTGGGCGTTGAAATTAAAAAGCTTCAACTTCAGTATAGAGCAAAGTCGAGGAACATATTATGTGGTTCCAGACACATTATCTCGGAGTTTTGAAGTGAAAGGAAATGTTTCTGAACTTGAAGTAAAGCCTTCAGTATATCTTGAATCAATGGCTTTTGATGAAGAGGAATATTCTAAATTTGGGGAAGATCTAAAGAGTACCGAGGGGTGAAGTTTGGCATTCCGAATGAAGATGCACAGTGTTCCTGAATGTTGTTAGAACCAACGAAATTACACCCCGAAGTAATTTATACAGATTACTAGATAACCCGGACCGCGTTGCTGGCCTATAGTATTAGCGTGTAATGCGCATTTTCTCTTTTCTTTTCAAACAGCCTAAACTTTGATAAACATTGTTGGCTTGCAACTATAGCCAATCTACAAATTTTGTGGTTTATTGTTGTATTCGTTTCAACTTATTTATTTAGAGAACACAATACATATTTATGGTGAATAAAGGACATGTTGCACATACGCTTTTATATATGTTTTCAATTTGTTGGAGTTTTCGTCGTCAGAATCGACAATAATTTGAATAAATAAATTGAATATAAATAAATTGAATTTTACTATCATAAATAAGGTGTCAATGGTTATGGACCCCATAAAGTATGTTAAAAAGTACAAATCTTTGTCGATTAAATTATGTCCGTAAGCCTCTCCGTTCTCCATTTGCAATTACGATAGAGGTCGCGAAATTTGATATGCGTCTTTCAAACTTAGCATATTTTATTCTTAGGATTATTGATGTTATAAAAGGTATATATTTGTTCTCATTTAGATATAGCTCTCATATAATATTATCTCCTAATATTCGCCGACTAAATGTGCTCCAATGTGACATTTTATGATTTCAGTGCACTTAAATCTAGTCCTTTAATACTGATTTCCCATATAACCTGCCGATTTGAGGTATTTAATTAAATAAATAATTAGTCTTAGCAATATTTTCCAAATCAAAAGTAATTTTGAATTCGTAACTTTTAGAAGCCCATGTTTATACAAAATCCAATGTCAATCCGTCCGTCTGTGTATTTGGCCGTTCGTTAAAATCGCAATAAATCAATTGATTGCCAGAATTGTATGTTTCACGAAGCAAAAAAAAAAATGTCCTTTGTTAAATTATATCTTAAATTATATCTTTGATACAAAATTCCTTTCAATGTATTTTAAAAGCGAGATAGACCCATAGTTACTTCTGAGGATATTCATAGAATCACTTTCTGAGTTGAATAATGCATGTCAGTCAGTCAGGTTAATATTTGAACATTTATACAATATTCCTAGGAAGTTAGAATAAATACGTTTCGTTTTCGGCTAAACATTCGTCCTTTTGTATGTTTTTGTTATAATTTATACCGATTTAAATGTAATTTTACATATTAAGTTTTCAGTATGTAATGTTCAAATTTTTACCACATTATTTTGAGGATGAATATTCAACCTACTCTAGGCCACGTTCAACTTGAAACTGGAAGATTTAAAGGTGAAAACAAAATTTTATTATTTTTGAACTCAGTTTGGACTATGGGAGCCTTCGATAGTGCTAGCAAGCAATCGGGTTTGGGGGGTTCGTGTCCTCATGAGTCAATTTATATCTTCCGAACATAAATAAAAAATTTTATAGACTCCCTAGTTTACAAAAGAACTACTATTGGATGGCTATGATCTTGACCATGTACTAAACCCCTTTTTTGGTCAAAATGAATAAAAAAAAACTGCAACGATCAACCCTAGAATATAACAGTAGGCTCTCCAGATATTCGCGGAGGCCTAGCCTCTGTACCCTCCCAACCACGGTCTCAAGGCTATAGGTTGTTTGAGACCCCAAAATTATCCTTCGATTCCCCCTAGCTTACCTCACCATCGTAAGAAAATATATCGTGACTTTAGCAACTCATCTTGAGTAATAACAAGATGTATTTAGATAAATATGGAATTTCATTTATCAAATAAAATATATATAAATATGGAGAAATTCATGAAAGCTTAAGTTCTAAAAAAAACTTGATTCATACTAAATTCCATGGGAAATTATATATATATGTACATCAAATGTATAACGGATTGAATATATCCTTGCTAGTTCTTCAATTTTTTAATTAAGCATTTGATTATTGAAATTTCTTGAATTTTAAAATACATTGAAAGGAATTTTGTATCAAAGATATAATTTAACAAAGGAAATTTTTTTTTGTTTTGCTTCGTGAAACATACAATTCTGGCAATCAATAGATTTTGGAAAATAAATTTTTTTCTTAAAAAAAAATCACTAGCTTATTACAGAAATTACAAAATCTAACTTATCTTTATGCAATAAGAATAAACAAAAGGATCAAATTTTTACCATATGAATTAGTGTCAATAGAAAAATTAATTTATAGAAATTACTAAAGGATTGATTTTTGATGTACTGACAGATCTCCTTGATCCTTTCGTTTTATCCTTTTATTCTTAATTCTGTTTTTTTTTTTGATATGCAAATATTTTAAGTTTTTGTTAAATCCATTTTTTTTTTTTGGTTTTTACTCACTTTTGTTTTTTTTTATATTTTTTAAGAATTTTATGTTGATCCTTTTTACTTATCTCAACACATTATTTCTTCGCTGTACTTTGATCCTCGAGGCCTCGATGAATGATTGTATTGCGTGTTTTTGAAGAATATAGGTGCATTGGTGCGTTTCGCTGTAGGGTTTAAAGAATTTTAAGTGTTAAAATGTTTGCATATTTGAAGGAACTCAATTTTTCTGTGTTTGATACTTATGAAACTCGTGGTAATTTAAATTTTTAGAAATAAAGTATTTTGTGTCAGTGGCGGGATTTGAACCCACGTTGCTATGATTGCTGCTCACTAGATGTGCCCCTTAGCCGACTGGGCTACTGAGCTGTGTTGGCAAGGATGGCTTCAGCGCAGGTTTTACTAGTGGATGTTACCCATAAGCTTTCCTGCTGTCCAATGATTGGTTATTAGCTAGCACGTACAAGTATTGGTGATGGGCTTTGTTGTAGAAACGCCACAAGTTCTGGATTTCAACATGTGTTTATGTTACACCGTAGTGGATTTGATTAGGTACACTCGTATTATACTTTAATTGTATTTGTCTTTGAAGGCAAAATTATGTATAGTTGGTTTCTCCCAATCCGCAATGTAGGTAGTAAACCAACATAACCTTTTTCTTCAAAAGTATTTTTAGCCAACGGAAGTGAATTTTGGTATGGTTTTGTAATAAAATATAATTTGTCCAGCAACAAAAACGGAAATCCTCATTCACGGCTTATGATATTTCGCCGCAAACGAGGAATGTAAAATCGATCTAACAAATGAAAAAAAACTATACTGATTTCATGCATAATTAAGGTCACTGGAAAATCACTTCTTACCTCAGTTTTGGAATTTTGAGAATTGGGTGATAAAGAAGTTTGTGTTAGTATGTGATAGATCACGATGTACGAGTTGTCTAATAATTAATGCAGAAGGTAATTTGTTTAAATTTTAAATTTTCGAAAAAAAAGAACCAAAAAATACCTTTTATTTTCATTAAAACCACACCTCCGTAGAAATTTGGCGTATCACGCACTTAATTATGAACACGGATTGTTAAAATTTTAATTGATTTTACAAAGCAGATCAACTCTTATTATGTCTTAAAAAACACTTATCAAAATTTCATATATACTTCGAAAAAAGTATTTTTTTTTCTAATGGAATGATCACTTGTTTACTAGCCTGTTGCAAAAATGTAAAAGACCGACGGAGGTTTAAACAAGGGCTATGGCAGCGATTTAGTTGGCTTCCACTACCTAGAACGCATTTGAGTCAGGAGAAACTAAACGAAATAACATGGAAACAGCAGTTGTTCTCTGCTTAATACGGACAAGAATCGACTCTCACTTCTCACTACTACATTAATACTAGTTGCTTACTGCCATGAAGTCTCCAAAATGAACGGAAACTCATTTAAAGACAAAAAAAATATAAAAGTAAATTTGCTCTCAGCCGGGCTCGAACCCACAACCTCACGATCCGTAAGCACGCGTGCTACCTCCAGCCTATTGCAAATATTGAGGGTGGTTGGACCAACGCACCACTTGAGCTAATGGATTATGTCTAATCCGTTTTTATCGCATGCGTTACGATAGAATTTCAGAAGGAAGAGATGAAGAAGATAATATCGAAAATATTATTTCGCAGTACACTGCGTTGCAAAGGATGGTAAAGGCAATAATTTGATTTTATTCTGGGCCATAATTCACCACAAAACCGAGTAATATCGATCCTTTGGATGACGATATTAATCGGAATATGATTATAAATTATGGCCGGATGTCCTTTGCGTGATAAGTTCCAAGAAACTTACCATCGAGGTCTTCTAATTCATAATACACATTACCAACTTTTTTCTTAATTTTTGCGGGAATGAAAATTGGAGCCAGCTTAGCATTGAACTTTCTCTCAGCATTGCTTTGGGCAAAATTGCGTCGGAATATGAGTTGACCTATTGAATAAGATATTGGTCGTGTTCGCAAATTGTATTGGTCTCTGTTAGTGTTGTGTGCCTCCATTATGTTCTTTCTTAAGGCTTTCCGAATCAATTGCAATTTATCCTGTCTTTCAAGAATATCATTGGGTTCATCCAACATATTAAGGTTTTTAAGCAGAGAATAGGTATCAGCGTGGGTAACCATATTGAAGCCAAATATGGCAAAATAGGGTGAACATTTGATAGACTGATGCATAGAGTTTCTCAATGCACAACTAATGTAAGAGAGATTCTCATCCCACAGTCTCTGGTCATTTTTTAGGTAGGCTCGAATACTGGCTATAATTGACCTGTTAACGCGTTCTGACGCGTTAGCCCTGTGCCCCTTAGCCGACTGGGCTACTGAGCTGTGTTGGCAAGGATGGCTTCAGCGCAGGTTTTACTAGTGGATGTTACCCATAAGCTTTCCTGCTGTCCAATGATTGGTTATTAGCTAGCACGTACAAGTATTGGTGATGGGCTTTGTTGTAGAAACGCCACAAGTTCTGGATTTCAACATGTGTTTATGTTACACCGTAGTGGATTTGATTAGGTACACTCGTATTATACTTTAATTGTATTTGTCTTTGAAGGCAAAATTATGTATAGTTGGTTTCTCCCAATCCGCAATGTAGGTAGTAAACCAACATAACCTTTTTCTTCAAAAGTATTTTTAGCCAACGGAAGTGAATTTTGGTATGGTTTTGTAATAAAATATAATTTGTCCAGCAACAAAAACGGAAATCCTCATTCACGGCTTATGCTCAATTATACTATAATTGACCTGTTAACGCGTTCTGACGCGTTAGCTTGCGGCGAGTATATCGCAGTGTAAACGTGATTTATGCCGAATTTTGTCAAAAAACTATTAAAATCATTAGATTCAAATTAGCTTCCGTTGTCGCTGATGATCTGTTCCGGAACGCCGAAGGCATGGAAAATATGCTTTAGTAAGAAGTCTTGAATGGGTGCGGAAGTGAATTTTTTTAAAGGGCAAAGCCAGTGATACTTAGTTAGGTGGTCCAATACGATAAAAGTACCAATATATCCATTTTTGGACCTGGGATAAGGCCCTAAAATGTCCACATATAACCGCTGGAAAGGTCGAATGGTTTGTATTGGATTACCCATATGGGGTTTAAGGACATAATTTGGATGTTTGGTGGTCTTGCAAGTTTCGCAATTGCGTACGTATTCCCGGACGTCTGTTACCAAGCCAGGCCAAAAAAAAAAAAAACACAACGTAGCAATTGTAAAGTTTTTCCCATTCCACCGTGAGAAGCGACTGGAGAATTGTGAAAACGAATTAGTAAAGTTTGTCTCATTCCTTCTGGAATCCAAAGCTTCCAAGCTGAGCTTTCTTGGGCCGGGTCACCAGTGTAGTGGTCTGTGCGAATATACACAAATTTTTCCAGAACTTTTAAGTCTGGATATTTTGTTGGATTATTCAGAATCTTTTTCTTTAAATTTTGATAATCAAGGTCTTCAAAACAAGGGGATGATAAGTCTATTTCTGGTTCTATGTCTTCCAACGCAGAAATTTCTTCGACATGAATCCTTGATAAAGCATCAGGCACAATGTGTTCTTTACCCTTACGATGGCTTATAGAAAACTTATAGGGTTGTAACTTAAAAACCCAACGGGCCAACCTACCCGATAAGTCGGATTGTTTCATGAGCCATAAAAGTGAAGAATGGTCAGTAACGATCTCGAAATCTTGTAACTCAAGATAACTTCTAAATTTTTTTATAGCTTCGATAGCGGCTAGACACTCGCGCTCCGTCACGCTATAATTGCGCTAAGCTGTGTTTAATTTCTTTGACATGAATGCGATTGGCTTTTCCTGTCCCTGTTCATCTATTTGAACCAACACTGCCCCAATGCCGTAATCCGACGCATCACAATGCAAGTAAAACTTTTTGCAAAAGTCGGGATTAGACAATACAGGTGCAGTGGTTAACAGAGTCTTAATTGTTTCAAAAGATTTTTGTGCGTCAGAAGTCCATTTAAATTTGCGCTTGGTGGAAAGAGTTTCTGAGATAGGGAAGGTTATAGATGAAAAATTTTCTATAAATCTTCGGTACCAACCGGCGAGGCCCAGAAATCCACGGACTTGCCTTACGCTTTTTGGTACCGGCCAATTAACTATAGTCAATTTTCTCTGGATCCGTTTGGATACCTCCATTCCCACACAAAACTGACTTTTATCGATGTTGAGCGTTAAGTTCGCTTTTCGGAGCTCTTGAGCAATTCGTACCAGTACAGAAAGGTGGCTACTGAAATCTTCGGACACTATAATGATATCGTCCAGATATCCAAAAACACAGTATCGCAGAACTGGAGGAATAATCATATCTACCAATCGACACATGGTCTGAGGCGCTGTACAGAACCCGAAAGGCATCACACAAAAGTGATACAGTGGCTTCCCGGGCACTGTAAAAGCGGTCAGAGCTTTCGATTCCTCTGATAAGCCGATTTGCCAGTAGGCATCTTTCAAATCGAGCTTCGTTATAATATTTGCCTTAGGCAATCGGGCGAAAATACCCTCGATACTTGGTAACGGATATGCATCCTTTTTCGTCACCAAGTTCAATTTTCGGGCATCTAAACACAGACGTATCTTGTTGGGTTTGACCACAAGTCGCATTGGCGATGACCAGGCTGACACTGATGGTTCAATTACACCGAGTGCGAGCATCCGATCGATCTCCTTGTACATTAAGGTCTCTACTGCCGGAGATACCGGGTAAAACCGTTGTTTCACCGGCTTCGCATCTCCGATGTCTATGTGGTGAGTCAAGTACGAAGTTCTACCAAGACCTTGCTTAGAACAATTTGGAAAAAGATCAATAATGGTCTTTAATTGGGATTGTTGACTCGAAGTCAATGGGTATTTAAAATCTTCTGAGCTATCGGATGGAATAATTTTCTGTTCTTGAACACATGGCGGTAATGGTACTTCTGCGTTGGAATTACAAACAGAAGATTCTAATGCTGGTATAACGGATGAAGGACCTGACGAATTAAAGGGATTACAAGTAATTAAATTGTCAAAAAGGTCTGGGGCTATAGAAAATACTCTCCAAAAATCTAAACCTAAGATGAGACGTTGGTCTATGGTTGGTACTATCAATAGTTTTAATTTTTGAACCACTCCACGAAATTCTACATCAACACATAACGATCCTAACGTTTTTTGTACGGTACCATTAGCTGTTCTTACTGCCATTTTATCTCCTGTGAACTGTGAATATTGAGAGAAATCCTTTGTAGCTAAATCAGAACCTATACAAGAAACGTTGGCTCCACTATCCAAGAGGCCATATTCGGTTAAATCTAAAAAGCTTACTTTAGCATAGAAACGTCTGTCCGTTGGTCTAGAAATTATGGTGGAAATTTAGAAAGAATTTAGAAGCATATTTTCGTCTTCGGTAATACCCTCTAAGTCTACGAGTAGATCTCTTTGGCCTTTTATGTGGTTTCATTAAAAATTCAGAGACAGAAAAAATTCGATTCCTTTTTTCCATATAGGTTTAATATCGCTCATGGAAGGGCCTTATCGGGTGTAAAAGGCTGTGGTCATATCTAGTGGTTGGTAAGTGTGGTTGAAGTATGGAAATTTTTGACGAAGATTCGATTATAGATTCATCTGAATTTAGTGCTGAAGGTACTACGGTAGATTTGGATTCGGGTTCGGACCTATCCCGTTTTTTGAACTGCTACCAATTCTTCGGTTAGCGCATCTTGCACACTGTGTCTTGTACACATTTTTGAGACCACATCCGTAGCAGAATACAGTGCGGTCTTCAAGACAGTCGTCCCAATAGTGACCGATCTTCTCACAGTTCCATCATTTTACATGTGAAGTATCTTTTCTAACAGCATTAACGCATATATTATTACTGAACTCATCGGAATCTTGATCTTCGTATTGAAGTTCAGCAACGTTTCTACGAGGATTTTGACTACCAATAGAAAACTGACTTTTTTGGGTTATTGTTTACGGAATGAGTCATCATTCATGAGATTTTCTCTCATTTGTACTAGTTTTCGTAAGTGAGCAATGCTCAAAATGGCGACAAATAACAATTCGTGGCGAATATCCGGCCTGAGATTTCGGACAAGAATTTCTACCATAGATTCTTCTTCAATTGGATGTCTTAATCTATCAGCAATTGAACTGATGGAATCATA